ACACCCGGGGACACGGAGCAGCCCTGGCAGCCCTGCGACAGGGGGACAGGCGCAGAGGGTGTCCCCGAGGGCTGGGGAAGGTGCAAGGGAGCGAGGGTGCAGGGCCAGGGGACACAAAAGGGCTGGGGGGGGCTGTGGGGTGCAAGGAGGGCTCTGCAGGTGCCACAGCCCCCCCGAGGCCAGGCCACTCTCGCAGGGCCTGTCCCCAGTCTGGGGGCTCAAACCCAGCCCCCTCACCCCCTGTGCTCTCCTGCAACCTGAGACTCACCCAGCACCTGCAAAACTCCAGGCCTGAAATCATTAACCATAGGACAGGTGTTGACTTAATCATTACCAGCACCTTTACACTTGCAAAAGTGTTTCTGAAGCAGTCACCTTCTCCTGCCACCACCAGGAGCTGCACAGGGCTGGTGGCTTCTGTGCAGGGGGGCACCATGCTAAAGAACAACTAGTAAAAGAGCAGATTTCAGTGTGGAAACTGCTCTAGACAGGGAGGCCCTTGCTGTAAGTCAGCGAGGTCCCCACAGGACCACTCTGACTTGAGCCAGTTAGAATTTATTGAGGGGGTAATTGCGCCATTGTGATGTTGGGTTTTGTCCCTAATCAGACAAAATCCTTAATGCTCCATAAGGAGCAGGATGGCTGGAGGCACTCCAGCAGGAGAGAAGCATATCACCTCAGCCTTCCCCAAGCAGAGATGATGCTTAGAGGGCTCGTTAACAAAGGAGAGCAAAGTATTTCTGCAAAGCCAAAGATTCCTCCACTAAAGTTTGCTTTCTGGGGGAGCTGAGCTGCAATAGCCTCCTGGCAGAAATCTCCCAGTGAGCTGTAGTCTTGTCCTAGATGCGGTATCAATTTAGGCTGCAAAACTCTCCAAGTTGTGAGGTTCAACTTTGAAATACCCTAAGTGTGAAACGGGACAAGCTGCTAATCAGGCAGCCACAGTCACAGATGGAGGGACCCAGGACAGGGCCACTTGCTCAGGGACTATGGGTCAGCACGGCCACCACACAGCACCTCTGGAGCAGGGAAAGCCTACCCAAGAAAGCCGCTTTCCAACACCGCTTCCACACGCTGCTGCAAAGCCTGAGCTCCCGTCCCCGGGCCCGTTCCCACGTCGGGGTTGTCACAGTGAATTACGCCCCCGCCGCTCAGCGCCGCACGCCAGCTCCAAACAAAGTCGCTGCCCCTGTCCCCCGCTCAGGTGATTAAGCAAACACAGTGGCTGCTCTGCAGTGCCAGCCAGCGCGGGAAGGAGCGGGAGCCCGGCCAGGCTCCACTAGCGCCTGCGGCCGCAGCCTCCCCGCGCAGCCCGCAGGGAGCCAGGGACGAGGGGACGGAGGCCGGGGGAGCCAGGGACGTGACCCTGGGCCACTTCAGTCATCCCAAGGGACTGAGGGAGCAGCGAGAGGGCTGGTGCTGCCGGGAGGAGGCTGGTGCCACTTCCATGTCACCCCCTTGGGCTTTTGGAGGGGTCCAGCAAAGGCCCCTGCTCCCGCAGGAGGCATTGCAGGGATAGTTGCTGGAAGTGCCTGTTTTGTTCCTTCCTCGCTTGCTCTCCACACCCTGCAATAATCACCTGTGGAAACCCTGGGCCATCCTTCCCTCTCCCCAGAGCCTGGTTGCCAAAACAGAGCTAGAACCAGGCAAGAAAGATCCCAACTGGAGTGAAAAATCACTCTAATTGAGCTCTTTCCTGCCTGGTTCTAGCTCTGTCTTGTCCTGTTCCAGAACACAGACCGTGCCAGAGCAGTGCCCACAGTAACCCAGCAGCTACGCAGAGCTGGAACATTTCGGTTCCTCGGCAGGGAGGAGCAGGGCACATGGTGCGCGGGGCCCCCCCGGCCGCGGCTCCCACCCAGCACAGCGTCTTTCTCCCGTTTTGCAGGGCCGACTGGTTCCTCCTGGACAGCCGGAGCATCCGCCACGCTGCCCTCGGCTTGTTCTGCTGCGGGGTCTCCGTCTACCTGACAGGCAAGTGCCCCTTCCCTGGCGTCCCAGCGGGGACTGGGCGCTGCCCTCCCAGCACACACATCCCATGCAGGAATTTGGGAAATACCGAGTTTCTACTTGCACTCGAGTTCATTTGGCAAATGGCTTTCCCCAGCCAGCTACAGAGGTGCAAAAGCCCCTTGCTCTGCTGCATTGAGCAAGGGTCGAGGTTTAGGCAGCAGCGCCTGGTGTCAGCTCCTGCTCACCTGCGGGTGACACGGGTGCTCCTCTCCCCTCCTTGCAGCTCTGGCCATCTACATGCTGCTGCTGTTCGAGCTCGAGGCCGGCATCGCCAGCGCCTGCATCCTCTGCTCCGGCATCCTGGTGCTGCTGCTGGCCGTGACGCACGCGCTGCTCCGCGCCTCCCGCATCGCGCGCCGCGCCGAGGCCTCGCACACCCTGTACGAGAACGACTCTGCGCAGGGCGCCGAAGCCCCCGGCGACGACCCGAGCAGCAAGAGCACGGCCGTGTCCCGGCCCGAGATCCACCGGGAATTCTCCTTCCCTCCTTTCCTGGAGCGCAAGGCCCAGCCGGACTCCGCAGGCGGCAGCGACCTGAGCTCCGCAGGGAATGCCGGG